TTACTTACTCACACAAGCTTACTCACGCCAAAAATTGCTGGTGTTGTGTTGTGTGCCAGCGCCACTCGCCCTCCCGCCCAAAAGCCTGAGCTAAATATCCTCTAAGGTATTGCTTGACATTAACGTCTGTAAAAAGAAAACTTTTTTTGTCTCACTCTCGGCCGTTTCCCGAAAACAGAAGGAGAATAAATGTAAGGGAAAAGGCAAAGGGTTTATATGATAATGATAATTGAAAAAGTACCACCCTTTGCGTTTGCTTGTATCCCAGTTTTGTTGTTTGGTTCCTCCAGGTTTCTTTTTTTTTCCTTTCTTTCTTTCTTTCATATCCACACCAAAAGGATACTTCCTGTTACTATTAATACAAAGGTTTGATCCAAATTTTGTGACTAATGTGAAATCTGATCATGGCCTGAGCAGGAAGTCTGGCAAAAATATAAAAAATGAAAAAAAAAATCTTCTTTAGGGTTGAAAGTACAATTACATCGTGTGGGTATTTTTAACGTCTGGTGTAATGTGCTTTGCTATATTTGGTTCTTGGCAACGTAACCAAGAGGGAGGTTGTGAAAGGGAGAGAGGGGAATGGGGAGGGATGGAGTAAAGGCGAACGAAAAGAAGAGATAAAGTTACAAAGACGGAGACAGCGAGGAAGGGAAAGACAACAAGGGAGGGAAGGTAAATAGAAAGAAAAGTCGAGAAAGCAGGAAGTAAGGAGAGAGAGAGAGAGAGAGAGAGAGAGAGAGAGAGAGAGAGAGAGAGAGAGAGAGAGAGAGAGAGAGAGAGAGAGAGAGAGAGATGATAAAGGAAAAAAGATATTATGGAAATTTTGTATTCATGGTTAAATGCACCAACATACTCTATACTCTGGTCTTTGCCTAAATATATACACATACCCACGATGAACAACACAGCAACAAGAAATTAATGAAGCTTCCAAAATATTTTGTCCTAATTCTAATTAAATCGCCTCGTTACGCTTATCGATCGGAAGTCCCTTTCATTAAGCCAAAATAATGTAAAATATTTACACACCACACTGTATATTTACGCCCTTTTATTGCATATATGGAAAAAAATAGATTGACGATCGACGCCACCGAAAGCACGAAAGCAAAATTCTTATGTCTAATAAGTTACAGGTTAAAATCTTTTTTTTTTTTTATTCTTTTCTTTTACTTGTATCTGTTCATTCTGCTTTTCTGTCTGTTAATTCATTCATTAATTCTACGATACACCGTTTAGGAATTTACGCAAATGCCAATTTCAGTTGCCTGGGCATTAGAATTTATGTGAAATGTACGTTGTCTTTTTCTCCCGTGTACCATGCCTTTTGTTTACTTTCTCCCTTGTCTTTTGCTTCTGACAAAGGTCAGGGTTGTTCACATTCCCTAGAATTCATAATGTTGTTTGTGTCAGTGTTAGATCAGATTGCAAGAGAATATCAAATATATATTGCATGCACAAGATATCTCTTAAAAAAAAAAATCAATAAAACCCCATCCTCTTTACATAAATCATCCCTCTAACTGGTATTTCAGAGAGCTGACCCTTTCCCCTTTTTTCTCCCCGCCATGTTTGTTTACATTAGGAGTCGTACTCGCCCTATACCTCATCGTACAACACCTCCTCCTACACCCCCCTGGAGACCTCGGAGATCACCGAGACCCGCCGTAGCGTCTCCCCTTTGAGGACGACCTCCTACAGACCCTCTGCCACGACCCAGCTCGTCCTTAACCGAGTGGCTTTGAGGCCGACGACTTTGCTCAGGGTAAGGCTCCTCCTCGACCAAGATGGCGGCGAAGACGTGTCCATGAATCTAGGGGCCGATTTCGTTTGCTTTCCTTTTATTTCGTTTCTTCTCTCTATCTCTCTCTCTCTCTCTCTCTCTTCTCTCTCTCTCTCTCTCTCTCTCTCTCTCTCTCTCTCTCTCTCTCTTCTCTCTCTCTCTCTCTCTCTCTCTCTCTCTCTCTCTCTCTCTCTCTCTTTCTATCTATTTCTCTCTCTTTCTCTCTCTAACTCTTTCTCCCTCTTTCTCTCTCTCTCTCTCTTTCTCTCTCTCTCTCTCTCTCTCTCTCTCTCTCTCTCTCTCTCTCTCTCTCTCTCTCTCTCTCTCTCTCTCTCTCTCTCTCTCTTTCTCTCTCTCTCTTTCTTTCCTGTTTATCTTTCCGTTTTAGCGATGAGCCATACTTGCGTTCTGTTTCCGGCTTTATTTCGTTTCCGTATTTTTCTGTTTCACGCATTTTCTTCGCTTGCGATTATTTACATTTATGTTATCTTATCGGCGTCGTTGTATTTATGTTTATATTTATATATTATTTTTAATATTCTTTATCGTTCTTTATGTAAAGTTGTTTTTTTCTTGGTTTATTTTTTATATTTTTGGCCTGATGCTATTATATGTTTCTTATCTACGCTACATTACTCACTAGCTGTACTTATTTTTTATGTTCTACAACAAAAACAACAAAGACATAGCCACACATACCTACATCAGCACACACAAACGCTGACTAAACAAAAGCTTTCAACTTATATTTAATCCATAATATCTGTCGTCTGGCTTAGGCAAAGAAGCCATTGATCATTTAATTTCCTCACAGCCAACACCTGAAGCCGTTTGCGTAAGTCACTTTATCTCCTTGTCTTTGTGGCCTAAGCTGATTCATTGCAATGCTCTGTTATGCTAATTCAGTGAGGGAAGCATCCGGTATAGGTTACTAAGCATTCAGTCATGCTTCACTTACCTTACATCGTCTGAAAGTAATAGCAGTTTGCAGATGCTTTTCCTCGTCCTCAAGTTATTTTCTTCAAAGGCTGCTTGAATGCATCTTCAAATATGGTTTCATTCAAGAAGTGTGCGCAGCGATTTTGCAAGACATGTAAACGCTGGTCTAATTCATTTCATTCATCGAATTCATCTACATAATCTATTTCGCTCACCCTGGCGTTGAATGGGAGTCCTTTTCATTCATCTTCCTACCTCTTTACCTGGCGACGATAAGTAAGGAAAAAAACTTGCATGCTCTTTAACTGCAAATAATAAAATTTTATGGAAGACGAGACATCCGTGGCAGGAAGCACGGAAGACGAAAGTTGCCTGTGCTTTCCAGCTGCCATTTCGTCTGGCCTGTGATAACGAGTTCATGAACTCTTTAAAGGAGAAATACAAGCTCCTCTCGATGTCCATTTATAAACGACGGTGGCGCCAGAGTCCTCGTGGGAATCGGCTACTCTGCAACTTCTGCAATTATGAATCTCTTAGGGTTTCCGCTCTGCTCCGAATCTCCACCTTCCTTTACCTGAAGTCGAGTTTTAGCTTAATAATTGCATTGGCTTTAGAATCAAGACAAACAAACAGTATTGGAACACGACTATGGCTGATGGTCGCGCGGAGGCTCTTGGTGTATTTTTAGTGTCGAGGACGTGCCAGAGCGTAAAGGCTGAAGGGGAGCTTGTATCACTAACCCGAATAAAACATTTGTCATTTAAGAGAATATAGTTACTTGTCACTGATGCTTTGACAATTTTCATTATTTTTTCTTCGTGTAGCAAACCGTTGTTCAAACGTACTCTCTTCTTTCTCTTCACTTCTTTCACCTCATTCTCATGTTAGTTCATCTTTGGCTCAGGAACCACCAGAAAGTACTCTTCATCTCCATCCACTATCAACTAGGATGATACTAAGGAGGATGGACAAAGATAGCGGGGTAAGCCCTCGCAGTCGCATGTCACGCCGTGGCAAGGGATGCATGTGTCGAGGATGGTCTTAAGGAGCAGTGTGCATGTGCTGAGCAGGGATCATATCGCGTTAGACGTTATGAGTGCATCTGGTTAAATGCGTGTATTTCAGTGAAAAAAAAAAAAAAAAAAAAAAAAACATTAGGTTTAATCGGTTATTAAGCAGAATAGGTATAAGGTGATGAGCATGCTGCATGAAATGGACAGAACAAAAGAAAATCCGAGTAATTTTAGTCTTGTGATTGCTAGGCCGGGAGAAGGGAACTTAAGAGAACAGGAATGAAGACAGATTTACGGGAAACCATTTCAAGCGTTAGGCTAAGACTCTCCAGAGATGAGAAAATAAATAAGATGAGGCGTATGGAAATTCATAGGTATAGGATTTAGGAATGCGTATGAGTGTACCACATTGCCACAGCGTACAGCGATATGCGTCGGTTGCACAACTAAACGCCTTGTAGTTACGATAGTTATTGCTGCTTTGCGAACAAACGCTTCAAAGTGTTGTAGGTAGAATATGTCGTAATTGAGATATAAGGCGTAACACTTATTAACACCATTAAAGAAAACGGTGATGTCCTAATTGAGTTTTAAATGCATTCCCGGACTTCCGTTACGGCATGGTCAGCTTCGATCGCATGCTGTTCCAATTAAAACATATGCTTGGTACGCATGACCTAACCTTCTGATTCCAAAGGTACATTTAAAAAGCCTTTAAGTGCTTTTCAGAAGCTTTTTACTCTTGCTCCACCTCATTTTTTTTTCTTTTTATTCAAAATATTTTTTTTTCTGATGAGTATTATTTTCGATTTTTTTCTTCTTTTTTTTCTTTTTGCTTATTATCATTGTTCTAAAGCTTAAAATTTATTTGTTTGCTTTAATCTATTTGATTTTGTTTATTTGTTTCTAACCTAAGCTTGCATCTTTTTTTTTATTTGTCAATATCAATTCCATGTTTTCAAAATCAAAATTCTATCAAATGTTTTTTGCAATATAGTCAACATACTGGATTACGCACTACTGAATTACATAAGAAATAAAAAAAAGCAGTAAAACAATAACAATAACAACGAAAGAGCCTCAGTCAGACCCTCTCACCCGGTGTCCTGAGCGGCCTCCCCCCCCCCCCCTCCCCCGCTGAGGGACCGAGGCCGCCGCCGGACAACTCCTTGACCTGACCTCCCGCTCGTCTTCCAGGGCTACCCTCCCATGGGCCCCCCACCCCCGCGCATGGCCCCCCGCACCATGGGCCCCTACTACGACTACGACTACGGTTACGGAGGAGGCTACGGCGCGGGCTACGGCGGGGGCTACAGCGGCTATGGAGGGGGCTACGTTCCGCCACCAAGGATGAGGTGAGTGTCATGGCCCTCGGGAGGATCTGTCTCTCTTTATCTATCTGTCTTTATTTCTATATCTCTCTATCTATCTATCTATATCTCACTCCCTCATTCTCTCTGTCTCTCTGTCTCTGTCTCTGTCTCTGTCTCTGTCTCTCTCTCTCTCTCTCTCTCTCTCTCTCTCTCTCTCTCTCTCTCTCTCTCTCTCTCTCTCTCTCTGTCTCTCTCTCTCTCTGTCTCTCTCTCTCTCTCTCTCTCTCTCTCTCCTCTCTCTCTCTCCTCTCTCTCCTCTCTCTCTCTCTCTCTCTCTCTCTCTCTCTCTCTCTCTCTCTCTCTCTCTCTCTCTCTCTCTGTCTCTCTCTCTCTCTCTCTCTGTCTCTCTCTCTCTCTGTCTCTCTCTCTCTCTGTCTCTCTCTCTCTCTCTCTCTCTCTCTCTCTCTCTCTCTGTCTCTCTCTCTCTCTCTCTCTCTCTCTCTCTCTCTCTCTCTCTCTCTCTCTCTCTCTCTCTCTCTCCTATCTCTCCTCTCTCTCTCCTCTCTCTCTCTCTCTCTCTCTCTCTCTCTCTCTCTCTCTCTCTCTCTCTCTCTCTCTCTCTCTCTCTCTCTCTCTCTCTCTCTTTCACTTACTCTCTTTTCATTGCTACTGTTTTCTGGAAAAAATACCCATAGTATGTTATGTTAGCTTTCAACCTCAGACTGTTTATTTGAAAATCAGATGTATTTTTTCTTTTTTTTTTGTATTGATTCATAGAGATAGGAGGTAAGGTAGTCTGATTAATCAGACCTGCCAGAAGTTAATCAGCAATTAATTACCTCACTTCATCGTCGGAAAAAGAAGGATTATTATATGGTAATTATCTCTTCACCCGTCCTTCTCCTCTCTTCCAATATCCCACTGTCTCATCCCCCTCTCTCCCCTCTTTTGCTCTCTCCTCCTCCTCTTCCTCACCTCGCTATCTCTCTCTCTCTCTTTCTCTCCTTACTCACCCCCCCCCCCCACGTTCAATTCTCCTGCGCCAACACTTCTCCAACCCACCGCACACCACCACCGCTTCGCCACCTCCACATCTCCCTCACTCCACTCTCCACACTCCCACCTACCTCTACCCCCTACCTCTCTCATCTCCACCATAACCCCCACTCCCTCACCCCCACCTCCCTCACCCCCGTCCCCCTCACTCCCACCTGGCTCCACCCCCTCCCCCGCCCCCAGCCGCTACGACAGCTACCTGGATGACGAGTTCTTGGAGCCGAGCACCTACGTTCCCCGCTATCGTCCTCGCCTGCATGACCACCTCGACGATGCCGACTTCCGCGAAAAGGTCAGATCGCGTCAGAGATGATGCTCGCAGCCTCCCTTTTTCCTCTTCCTTTTTTCTTTTTCTTTTATTTATCAAGGATTTAGATACACACGGCACTTGACAGACATCATGCAAGATATTTACGATACGTGTTTTACATGATCTACATAAATTCAATCTACACACACACACACACACACACACACACACACACACACACATACACACACACACACACACACACACACACACACACACACACACACGCGCGCGCGCGCGCGCGCGCGCGCACGCACAAACATAAACATAAACAAAAACATAATCCCACAAATACAGACCCAAACACACGCAGACGAAATTCACAAACATATACATCTACTTCCTTCGGTGTTTCGTGTCCTAAAGAGCTAGAGACAGCATGTAGAACAAATCAAATATGAATACTTTAGATGTCAGTTAGATATGTCTGATGTCATGTTCTTCAAAGTCTCGGGTTTTCTGACTATAGTTAAAGTCCATTTCAAATAAATAAAAGATCTTAGTCATGTTTTTTTTTCTTCTTGTTAACAAAAAAACAACAAAAAGATCCATTGTTCCTGTGTTATTGTGTTAATGTTCAGTTTGTATTAGTATATTTGTCAGCCACACAATGTCAGTCTCACGAACCAAAGAATGTGTTTGTGAAATGTTCCTTCCTAAGAATTACATCCATAAGACGTTTCAGGAGTCCATTGGAGAACAGCTTGCCCCCCCCCCCAATCCCCCTCCCCCCACGCGATGAAAAAGAAAACAAATATATACATGTAAAACGTTTAACTCTAAAGTCCCCCTTGCATAAAATAAAAGATTCCCCTTCACCCATTTTCTTAAAAAAAAAAAAGTTTGACTTCAAAAAAATCACCCTGCCCCCTAAAGAAAGAGAGAAAATTCCTTCAGGAGTAAGACTCCCCCCCGCCCCAAAAAAAAGCTTCTTCAATAGTGACCTGACCCCCCCTCCCCCCCCCCAAAAAAAAAAAAAAAACAGCAGCCTTACTAAGCTTACTCTCCGTCCTCCTCCCCCCTCGCGCCTCGACAGATCACCACCACCCCACAGGGCACCACCGCAACCACCACCATCACCCCTAGGGCCGTCGACACCTCCGTTCGGGGCTATACTCCTGGCGTGAGTCGCTACTTCGGTCTCGTTCTCGCCTCGAGGACTTTGGTTGCGAGACATGGTTGGCTTTGCATCGTAGTGTCATTGCCCTTGTGTTTGCTGTTATCGTATTTTCATTATCATTGTAGTAGTAATAACAATGATAATAATAGTAATAATTGTTGTTGGTGTTATCACTGTTATTATTATTGTTATTATTATTATTGCTGTTAAGTGTTGTTGATTAAATATTTTTCATTATCTAATATTATAGTCATCTGAATAGCTCCAATGTCAATTCCGTCATCTCTTGATATAATCTCGGAATTAGCGTTTGTTTCTTTATCTATTATTTTTCTTATCTACCTATCTATCTATTCATCTATCTATATATCTATCTATCTGTTTATTCACGCATTCATTCGTTAGTTCACTCATTCAATACTGGCTTAAATATATCCTGATTTTTTAAGTGTCTCTTCAAACCTAGTCATTATTACTGATATTTTTCGTATTTGTTTACTTTTGCATCTGTTTGGTCATCTAGTAATGATAACGGCATTGGTGATCGTACTGGTGTTGGGTAAGAGTAATGTTAAGCCAACCTATCTCACTACCAATGATCTTCTGTTGAAAAGTAAATTCATGTATTTATAAAATCCAATGTGTAAATAAAAGAACCCTTAGAATTTCAAATAAATCAACATTCAGATCAGAAAAAAAATTATATATATATATATTTTTTTTAAATAATCACAGTTTCAAATCAAACATAAAAAGGCCTCTTGGTATAGAGTGGCCTTTAGAAAGCACACAGCCAAAAGGGGCAAAGGTACAGATAAAGGCCAAAGGTCAAGACACATTTCTAGTGTGGCTTGACAACGAGCCCCCCCCCCCCCTCCCGTCCCGCACTCCCTCCCCCCTCCCCTGCATTTTAAAAGCGGCATTTCTAACTAACTCTTATGGACTCACTTGCAATGGACACTGCTGAGGATGAACTCTTACACTAACGTTGCCTTTGCTTCTCTCTGCAATGTACAATAATTCGCTTACGATATTTCTCCCGTTTGCCACAGCTTCAAACTCCCACTTTAACTTGATGTGTGACATGTTAAATATATGTCGAATGTTACTTAGTTTACACACGTCCATGATATCAATCCAGCTAACACACATTCATGGCATCTTTCAGCCACGTACATTTTCCCTTAAGGAATCTTTTCAAAGAGGAGTCTTGGACGATTAGGTACCACATGCTATAAATATTTATTTTATCATCTTGCGTATGGATTTTACATCTTGACTGATAACTAATCTCACATTAAGCTCTCCTATGCAGTCCGAGAAGGGAATGTGTGCGACTGAGATGGTGACGGTGAAATTCGAGTGATTCTTTAGAGATTAAGTTAAAATCAGCTTTACTTAGTAACACATTGATTAGATAAGATTAAAGGCCTTTTAAATTTCCGATTTCGATAAGCCATTTAATAGTCATACATATACAAGTCTTGGTATTATCTAAAAGTGGAAATAACCGCTGAAAACATAGAATAAATTAGGAAAAAATATTAAATTATATATTTTTTTCTAGTGAGTCATCTCGAATTATCACTCGTTGAATGATTACTAGTGCTCGTTGCAGAATCATCCCTCACTTCCCAGCACCGAAAAAAAAAACACGAAAGATACTAAATTACTTACCCTCAAAGTCATCTGCATTTTACACGATCAACATCCCCTTATCACGCTGCATGTGCATCTTTTTTTTTTTTGTATTGATAAACTAAAAATACCAACCCGTTTCGTGTCGTAGTACTTCCACAACGCTAACGTAATCTTATCACTCTTATCTCTCCTCCACTGATCGATTCTCCTGACAGATAACACACTTATACCCATAACATATGCACTGATGCTGACAACATATCTTTTTTTTTTTAGTCAGCTTCGGTCCCTGAATTGTAATAATGTTCTGTTTCTGTTCTGTAATCCTCTGGCAATTGTTCAATAAACATTGGCCAAAAAGATGGTGCAAAATGCTGTTCAAAGTTCATGCCATATCTGGTAACACTAAATCTTAACATAATCTATAAGTTAAACATAATGTATGCTTTGAATGATATTTTTATTTTGTTTGATTTTCTCCGATATTATTTCTTTTTCTGTTATGCCTTCTACCTTAGAAAGCCTATTATGCAGTCATTTAAAATTTATTCATCCATCCTTTTTTCTTTTTAATTTATCTATTTATTTTCCTTTTGCATCTAATATAGTGTTTCATATCTTACCTCCTGATTCAATGTCATTATAATATTTCTTTCTCCTTTATAACATGCCATTTACCAAACCGTCGTCGCCGATGCAAGGTACGAGATGCGGCGGCGGTTGCCTAGTGTTGTTTTTTTCAGATGAAATTTAATGAATAATGAATACCCTTTTTATGCTCACTTTTGTTCTGTTCTAGATAGTTGATTTCGATGGCTCTAACATTAGCTTATAACTTCACTGTAGTTTTTTGCTTGTTTGCATATCTTTATTTGGGAATATTGATTAGTCGTCCCTTTTAGTGCATAGTAATGATATATATATATATATATATATATATATATATATATATATATATATATATATATATATATATATATATATACATATATATATATATATATATATATATATATATATATATATATATATATATATATATATATATATATATATATATATGTATATATATGTGTGTATATATATATATATATATATAATATATATACATATATATATATATATATATATATATATATATATATATATATATATATATATATATATGTATATATATAAATATATATATATATATGTATATATATATATATATATATATATATATATATATATATATATATATATATATGTATATATGTATATATGTATATAAGTATATATGTATATATATGTATATGTATATATATATGTATGCATATGCAGATTTGTATTTATTCCTTAATTTATTCGTATATATGTCTGTATGTTTATTCCTTATTACTGAGTAAATATTTACTTATTGTTATTTCTATTTTTGTCAAAATGTATGAATCGAAAGACGATCTTGTCTGTATAGAATGCAAGAGCTGTCAGCTACTGACGATAACTCTATTTACCAACAGTGTAATCATTTTGCATTTAACTATTCTTACGCCGTAACTGAGAAGTGCAAACGGAATGATGCTTCTAGTTAATGTTTAATTGGTTAAAGCCTTAGCATTACATCTCGCAGAGCTGATTCAGTCTCGTCAGGCCAACGGCTTGGGTCTGGTCCAACTCACTTGGTTTAGTCACAAACAACATTTTCGAATGTGCATAAGCATTCATTAGTTCCAATTTCCATATTTAGCTACACTGCACAAGGCTGATATGACACAAGCCAGTCCCAGGTATATATGTCTACCTGTAGGATGCCCAGATGCTCAAGTAACAGCCAAACCAGACTCAAGTGGCCGGGTGTGCCGAGGTCCTCCGCCCACGCCCACCTCGGCACACTCTCGCTCCGTCTCGCCCGTAGCTTCCGCCGCCTAATAAACTAACTCCCGCCCCGCCCCTAGGCCCCCGCCCCGAGAGGCCTGGAAGGCCCCGACGACAGCATGGCTCTGGTGCCCCACCGCAGCCAGCGGCCCAGGCGGGCGCACCTCGAGTCCGGCCCGCGCCCCGAGACCGCGGTGGTGCCGGGAGGCGAGTCCGAGGGCGACCGCCACCTGGCCCGCCTGGAGCGCCGTTACCCCAGCCTTTCTGAACCGCAGATGCTCCAGGACCACGTCGACAAGATGCGCATCAAGCTCAAGTCCCTGGCCTTCTCGCTCGACCCGTCCGGCCCCGTCCCCGACATCATCATCCCCGAGAAGAGGAAGTAGGTTTCGGGCGCTGCCCTCGCTCTCACGCGGCTCGGCTGGTGGCATGCGCAGCCTCTGAGCTTCAGTTCTTTATCTATGCTGGAATGATGTGGAGTCATACTGAAGTGCAGTTAAATGCCATTCTGTGAAATAGTCAAATACATTCTAACGGGAAAGCTAAACATTAACGGCTCCGTCCTGCTACATGACAATGATGAAATAAAAGAAACTAATTCCGCGTGTCCGTTGCAGGCCGACCGATGCCTCCGACTCCAAGTACTCCAGGGGTGAGATGACGCGACCTCAGGCTCGCCTTTTCGTTTTACTTGATTTCACTAAGATTTTGATTGGATTCTAGATTTAATTCATCTGAATAACGTCAGTTGAATACAGGATTTTCTTTCTTTTAAATTATGTAATTTTGATATCATTCATTTTAAAGTTATGACAAGAATATAGCGTAACTAATATTTCATTTTGATATAAATTCACAATAATGCACTCTTATTTAGAAGTACACAAACTGACTATTCACAAATATGTTTAACTTTATCGTGATATGTAATTCCAATACGATAAGTGTTAATTACAGAAGAACACCATATTATTTATCTATATTTATATTCGCTTACCATAATATGTATCCCCTACGACCCTTCCCTCTTTGACCCTGTGTGAGTGTGAGTGTGTGAGAGACGCATTGACAAGCGAGCCTCCTGTCACTGGGTAGAGAATGTTTAGTTTGAGAAATGTGTATAACATGTGGGAGGTGGGCACACACAGGGCCCAAGCACCTGGCCTGTGTGGAATTCGCGGGTGGGCAGCCCCAGTGGAAGCGAAGAGCCCGCGCGCGCTACCCTTCTGAGGACCCCGAAAACGTGACCATGTTGGCCAAGGCCGAGTACGTGGACAAAGTGGAAGACCCTGGTAGGTCACCTTCCGTGTTCCCATCACACGCCCACCACGTCTCTTCCCTCGGCTGTGACAGAGGAACGAATCTGTCAGAACAAAAATAAAGGAGAAAAGAGTGATAAATCAATAACAGATTAAATTATTTAGATCCGTCTTTACTTTGTACAAATGTCAATAACTGCGGCAAGCTC